GTCATATGGGGAGGAATTGGGCCCTCACCTACCTTATAGTTCTGATTCCGAAACTGGGTAAAGATCCGACTAAATGCGATTCGTATCGACCCATTTCCTTAATTAATGTGGACGCAAAGATCTTGGCCAAAATTCTGGCAATACGCATTAATAAACATGTCCCGTCTCTCATTGGTAGCGACCAGGCAAGGTTTATGCCAGGCCGCTCCACTCGAATGAACATTCGTAGACTTTTTACCAACCTTCAATATTCTCATCCCACGACTGAGGGTAGGGCTCTGATCTCACTAGATACCCAAAAAGCGTTTGACAGTGTTTGAGTGGCCCTATCTCCTAAGAGTACTGAAAGCATATGGGTTTGGCCCCCAAATGCTCCACTGGATTGGATACTATACAACACCCCAGTAGCCAGGTTGCGTGTCAACCGACAGATATCTGACCCATTTAATATTTTTAGAGGGACTAGACAGGGCTGTCCTCTCTCCCCTATCCTCTTTGCCCTGGCCATTGAGCCTCTAGCAATTAGGATAAGGGAGTCTGACTCCCTGAATGGCTTACGGATACGTGACCTGGAGGAGAGAATCTCTATGCTGATACGCTGATTTACTTGTCTGATCCGAATGGTTCCCTGTCCCATCTCCACCAGCTATTGGACCTATTTGGCACCTTCTCGGGGTTCAGGGTAAACTGGGACAAGTCTGTCCTATTTCCCCTGGATAGTAATACAGTGGCTAATATACACCCTACGTCCATTTTAAGAGTTGCTAATTAATTCAAATACCTGGGTATTAAGATGCAACTACCCCTTTCCTCCTATATCGCTAATAACCTAACCCCGGCTATTGACTCTCTTCATTTGAAAACCAAGCAATGGATGGATTTACCACTGGATCCTATGGGAAGAGCCAATATCATTAAGATGAACTTTCTCCCCAAGCTACTGTATGTTCTAGCTAATGCCCCTTGTTATGTCCCAAAAAGCTACTTCCGCAAAATTAATTCTATCTGCATTGTGTTTCTGTGGGGAGGCCGCACTCCCCGGGTGGCCTTGGAGGTGCTGCAGCTTCCTCGCTCGATGGCGGGACTGGCCTTTCCTAATTTCCACATGTACTACCTAGCGTCCCAACTAGTGGTGGTCCATGACTGGCTGGTCCCTCAGATAGGAAACGCCTGTACAGCTACTGAAGCAGCCATTCTAACCTCATTTGAATCTCTCCAAAATGTTGTGTATAGGGGGATCTGAAATAAGCAAACCGGAACGGCCATGATTTCCGTAACTGTCTGCATCTTACGATACGTCATTGACCGATTATCATTGCCCGCATGGTCCCGCTCTCCCTACTCTCCATTGTAAAGTAATCTTGCTCTCCCAGAGCTGCAGCGCCTACCATCAGCCGCTTTCTGGTCCTCGAAAGGGATTAAATCTCTATCTCGCTTGTTTCAGGATGGGGTAATGCTTGATTTTCCACAGCTCGGGGAGGAGTTGCAGCTCCTCATCTGATTTTTTGGCCTTCTTTCAGCTCCTCCATGCGGTCCGGACCCAAATTGGGTTGACCGCCTTTACACCAGCCCAGTCACCATTGGAGGGGATGCTACGAAGGGAGGATTCCTCAAAACTGATTTCAACTTATTATATGGAGCTTATGTCCTAAACAAAAGGTGGTGGTCGCTTCTCCCGGATCTGGAGGATGATTGGGGAGACTTTGAAAGAAGCTATATGTCCTCTGTGATAGCTTCAAAGGACAAACTGATACAAATGAAATTCTTCTATCAGGCCTACTACACTCCCACCCTTTTACATAGACTGGGCCTTCGACAGACTTCACGTTGTTTTAAACGATGCAGCCAGGAGGCTGACTTCCTACACTGTTTTTGGTCCTGGCCTATCATAAGGACCTTCTGGTCGGAAGTTACTTCCTTCATGGAAGGTAGTCTGGGTTTCCCCAATATCTGCAACCCTGCGTTCTGCCTCCTTGGTCTATTTGGCAAATTGCCTTTGGCCTCGAGTACTCAGACACTACTACGCCTCCTTTTCTTTTACGCCAGGAAGAGCATACTCCTGGTCTGGGGTAGCCCGACAGCTCCCTCCCTGGGCGAATGGAAGAGATTGGTCGATCAAGCATTGCCTCTCTACAAACTCACCTATGAGCAGCGGGGCAACCCGATCCGTTTTGCTCGCATATGGGATCCATGGCTGTCCTCTTCTAACACTACTGTGGATAAGAGGTGAGGTCTAGGGACATGACCATCTTTTGAGCTAATGGCCTCTTTGTACCCCTGAATGGGTTTTATACTTTATTGATTAGTACTGGATATGTTCACATTTCCACACTGTATTTTGCCTATGTTTAGAGGTTAACTCCTAGGTACTGGATTGTGTAACCTTGTAAATTGTAAACCGTGCAATGTATATGTGTATCGCATTATTTACCTTGGGTTATGTTGACCCGGTTTTTGTAAGTGTTTTCTGTATGCTATAGGTGTGTTTGGTACGTGTCTGTGACACAGGACAAAAAGGAAAAGACTCAATAAAAAGTATCTTAAAAAAAAAGTTAGCAGGAATCAGCTGAAATTCAAGCAGTGTATGGCCAGCTTTCGATACAGTGACGGAAAATGTACAAGGCACACTGAAGAACTCCAGGAATTGTTGTTATTAATCCTTGTAGTAGGGCAACCCCCGCACTGCAAAGGTTAAGTGCTCATTTGTGTCTACGTTTAATAAAAAAAAAAAGTTATATACTCACCCGAAGTGCCAATCTGGCTTCTTCTTAGACCGGTCCTTCCAGTGTCTCTCCCCCTCCTCTGCAGCAGTCTAAGGTCCTGTATATCATCACATTCTATGCACAGTGTATAGACGTGAGGGCTAGAGCTGCAACAACTAATCGACTAAATCGATTATGAGAAGAGTTGTCAACTATTCTTATCATCGATTAGTTGGTTGGGAAGGTAACTAATCGATTTATAAAAATAATCGTTAGCTGCAGCCCTAGTGAGGACGCTGAAGGAAAATATTCCAGTGCTGCAGCGCAGGAGCAGGAGACAGGCTGGAGGGAGCGCTGCGACAGCTGGTCGGCTTGGAGCTTCTCGTGAGTATATCTGTTATTTTAGCACCTAGACACAAATGAGCACTTAACCCACCACTGCGGTGGGAGCCCCACTGCAAAGGTTATGAAATGTTTTCCTGGAGTTCTTCTTTAAAGGAACAGGTACGTGAAAGGTGTAGAAGGTACACAGTTATCTGAAAAGGTGTAGAAATCCCTAAAATGGAGAAATGATGCTGATTTGGAATCACCAAGTACTAAACCAGAAAACATCAACATAATCTGAAATAAGGTCTCTGCAATCTACTCACAGGACAATAGTGGTCTATAGGACAGACGTCACAGCGATCCGCTCCCCAGTCCGCCTGGTAGTCACCGTTTTTGCAATGCTGACATGTATGGTCTTCGGGTCCTTTATACATTCCTAAAAGGAGGGGGAGATGTACGTGAGGATTCCTCTGATCTAATGGCTTCTACACCGAGACATTAACTCAGAGGGATTGTTTCAACTTGGCTGGATTGGCGACTCATAGACAGCCAGATAGAAACAGAGACACCGGCACTCCAAATAGATAAGCAAACGTCTATTTATTGACGTGCAGTGTAGCAAATAGCAACGAACGTTTCAGGGTCACAGAGGTATGAGGATCCCCTTCCTCAGGCCAAAAGCATACCATGGACTCTCAGAGAAAGCCAGTCCCCTAGCATTTTTTCAAGTATTAGCTGCCTACATCTCACAAGGCAGGTTTCCTTTAAAACAGTACAGGCGACTCCAGATATAGAGCCTCGCATGAGTCGGATTTAAAGTGTCACTAAAATTATTACACAAAAAAGTCATATGTAGTTCAGCAAGCCAATTAACATCTCTCACCCTGTTCCTTTAACCCTTTCGCTGCCAAGCCCTCCGGAACATTTTTCAAATCAGCTGGCCAAGCCATTAGTTATGTGTCCACTTAGTCCCTATAAATATCTTTGAGCAGATTCTGAGACTCACGTTTACATACCTTGCCCGCATGCCTTTGTAAACATTTCATTCTGCCTTCCTAACATCTCCCATTGTAGTCACACATACAGAAGCACTGTGCTCAAAAGCTACTACACTTTTTGTTTTTCACCACTCCCTCAGAGCAACACACCTCTTTTAATAGTAAGAAAATATTTGGAACATAAATATCAAATACTTATTATTTATTTTACAATACTTGTTCTAAATACCCAAAGTGATGTTGGTGCCTTTAGATCCCCTTTAAGTACCTGAAGAAACCTGCAATGAGCATCTATGCAGTCCTCAGAAGCACCCCCCCTCTAACCTATCTGCAGTGCACAGTGGTGAACCCCTCCCTTATCCATAGTTGAGACCCCTCTACCCTTTTCTGTAGTGGTGAGCCCCTCCCTGTCCAAAGTGGCGAGTCCCCTACCTTCCACAGCGGAGAGCCACCTAACCTGTCTGCAGTGGAAAGCCCTTGGCCCAATCTGCAGCAGAGAGCCCTTCAACCTGTACTCAGTATTGAGCCTCCTACCATGTCTGCAGCAGAGAGCTCTACACCCTGTCCACATAAGTGAGCCCCCTACTCTGCCCACAGTAGCGGGCCCTCTATCCTGTCCCCAGGGGAGAACCCCTCATCCACACAAACTATACATACAAAATATTACTTAGTGTTGCACTAACAAGTGCCCAGAAACTGCCACTCTCACATTTGCTTGATGTCTATAAATACTCATGGTCCATGGAAGTAGTTTTATCTTCATTATATACATTACTATAACAAAAGACAAGCCAGCTATTTAGCTGCATGTGCAGTCAAATTAAATGTAAGCTGTTCTATCAAAATATTAAAGCTATTCTTCTAAATCACACCCCTTCCATGCTACAAAGGCTGTGGGGTGACTCCACTAATTCCTATTGTAGCTTTGCAGCTTCCTGTGTAACCAGACTGCCCTTTGGACTATAAGAGATTGTCAGCCCGCTGAGGCCCCCCTCTTCCCGTCATCAGCCCACTGAGGCCCCCTCTTCCCATCATCAGCCCACTGAGGCCCCCTCTTCCCATCATCAGCCAGCTGAGGCCCCCTCTTCCCATCATCAGCCAGCTGAGGCCCCATCTTCCCATCATCAGCCAGCTGGA